GTCATTGTTGTTTGGCGGTCCGGGCTGGGGATTCGAACCCGCCACCTTAGGTGTACGTGGCTGGCGCCTTAGCCGGTTGAGCTATAGGCGCCGAGCCAAACACTGAACTTTAAATGAGTGAACCTTACGGTATGTAAATTACAGATCAATGAAGAAGCTAAAAAAAAAAAAAATTGAGTGTTGAGCTAAGTGATCTCTAGGGTCAGTCGCAGCTCTGAGCTCCAGATCAGCAAGTCCCCATGTGGGTGTTCTCTCTGGGTGTCCCACTGGGGCAGTAGTGCTGAAGTGATGTATTGCACAGGGAGGCCATGGGCGGGAGACAACACGCCTTACTCAGGTTCTCCCTCTTCCCTTTCTGCACTGTCACTTTTGTCCCACTAGTTTGAGTTCATTTTACTTTTATCTTTTATTACAATAGGTTTCTAATGGGCCTCCCATCTCAGCCCTTCTAGTCTATCCTATTCAGTCTGCCACAGGCCTTTCTAAATCCCAGTATTGAGCATATTAATTCTAGTTCCAGTTCTTGGAGAGCAGAATAGGCACACTCCACCTTGCTGCTCCCACTCAATGCAGCGATATACCCTACATGGAATGCACAGGGCAGCTTTTGGAGGACTCTGAAAAGTAGATAGCAGCAAGTACATTGAGGAAGATGGCCGGGATCTGAAGCACTTCCAAACTGAAAGTGGGTTTATGGACTGCTTCCCTCTGCTATTCACTGGCCTGACTTCAGAGCGGCCTGAAACTCAGAAGTGGATGTCAATACCAAGAGCCCAGGAGGAGCCCTGGGCTTGAGTTTGGGGAGCTGAAGGAGTTGTCCTAGAGGGTGGGAGTGCCCCCATTTTCCCTGCTCCTCTCTTTATTCCCTCACGCTTAGGTCCCAGACACTCCTCTTAGTAATTAACAGAACTAACAGACAGAAAATCAGCAATGATATAGAAGAAGTGAACAATACCATCAACGAACTGGGTCTAATTAACGTTTATAGAACATTCTACCCAACGGCACGTGGGATATTCACAAAAATTTGCCCATATTCTGTTTTATAAAAGCAAATCTTAACAAACTGAAAATAAAACTGGACAAAGTGGGATGGTTGTTCATTTTAGTATCATAATCTGTTATATTTCAACATGTATGTACCTTTTCTAAAAAATGATTAAAAAACATGAAATTTACCCCCTTAAGCATTAAGTCATAGTACAGTAGTGATAACTGCATGCACGCTATTATATAACTGATCTCTAAAACCCTTTCATTTTGTAAAACTGAAACTGTATAACATTAAACCACTCCCTTTTCTCCCTCCCCCTGGCAACCACCATTCTGCTTTCTGTCTCTAAGAGTCTGACTGTGTATGTTCTATGGCCATAATGGAATTAAACCAAAATCATAAAAACAAAGGTAACAAGAGATTCTCCAGACACTTGGAAGCTAAACAACATACTTATAAATGATCTATGGGCCAAAGAATAAGCCTCAAGGAAAACTGGGAAATTTTGGACTCAACAAAAATGAAAATACAACATATTAAAATTTGTGGGATGGAGCCAAAGTAATGTTTAGAGGAAAATTTGTAGCATTAAATAGTTATGTTAGGAAAAAAGGAAGGTCTCAAAGTCAATAATCAAAGCTGCTACCTTACAAAACTAGAAAAAGAAGAGCAAAATAAATCCAGAGTAAGCAGAAGAAGTAACATACATAATATCAGAAATCAATTAAAAATAGAAAATTAAAAAAAAATAGAGAAGATCAATGAAACCAAAAACTGTTTCTTTGAAAAGATTAATGAAATTGATAAATCTCTAGAAAAACTGACCAAGAGGAAAATGAAGACACAGATTACCAATGTCAGGAAGGAAAGCGGGACAGCACTACAGATCTTGAAGAAAGGATAACAAGAAGGAATTATGAACAGATCTATGTGAATAAACTCAACTTAGATAAATGGACCAATTCTTGAAAACCACGAACTACAAAAACTCACCTAAGATGGTCCTGCAACTATTAAAGAAATTGAATTCATAGTTTCTGAAGAATTCTGTGCTGGCGGTCACTGCTGAAGGACTCAAGTCTGTGTTTTTCACCTTGACCTCCTCTTCTCCTAATTTTTCTAGGTTTCCGTCCCTCCTGGTGTGCCCCATTCAAAGGGGGGAGGGCTTTTCACACCTTGCTTTTAGGTTTCTTTTATTTTAGCCTGTGCTCATTCCTGTAATTCTTGATTTACCCAAATCCCATCTGTTCTTTAAGACCCAAATCATTACTTTTCATATTATCCCTGGAATCCCTCAGGCCAGAAAGCAACCAGTTTATTGGGGCCACATTATTCCAGTCCCTAACAGAACTGTCCCTACGAGACAGCAGGCAAAGCAGCCACAATGAAATGTGCTGTAAAAATGTTAGTGTGGCAATTATGAGATAAAGTTCCCTATGAAGCATTGTTTTTGCAACTTTATGGGTAGGAACAAAAAATAATCAGGTACTGAGAAAATCTTTCTGTCTTCCCAGGACTGCTCTGGCTCTTCCCAGTGAAACCAAAGAGCTTGTCATGGTTTGCTTTTTGTCCTGATAGCCTGTACCCCAGTTTTTAGGCTACTCTACTATTTGTTTTTCTTTTCTTTGGTCCTGATTTTCTACTTGTATTTTATTATTGTGCTGCTCACGATTTCATTGTAAAGCCATCTCAAATCCTTTGTAGGCCTTGCTTATGGCAGACACTTAGATACCTGAAGGAATACTGGATGCCTCAAACATTCATGGGGCCCCTCAGCATAGCACTGCAAAGGCATTACTTCTCTGAGGGCCGCTGTCAACTGGCAAAAGGAAACAAAGTATTGAGCAACTACGGGGCAGATGACTGCTTGTCTTCAAAGAAGTTGTTCTAACATCTAGAGTTGTGAGTCTTGCTTATGGCTCTACCCAGTCTTGGGGGACCCCCTGATGGAGTGAGAGTTGAATTTAGCAAAGCCTAGGTGGCACATGTAGGTTCATGGCTTTACTTTATTTTTATTTATTTATTTATTTTTTGGAGACAGTCTCAAACTGTTGTACTGGGTAGAGGGCCGTGGCATCATAGCTCACAGCAACCTCCAACTCTTGGACTCAAGCAATCCTCTTGCCTCAGTTTTTCTATTTTTAGTAGAGACGGGGTCTCACTTTTTTGTTCAGGAAGAAAAAAATGATCTACAAGGGCCAGTCCTTCTGAATACCCCTTCATATCTGAAAACCAAACCCTGGTGTCATAGGAGTTTGCCAGTCTGGTTTGTGAGGTGTCCAACTCCAAGTTTCACTAATGCTAAAAAGGTTTAATGGATGCTTTACATGTATTTCTTGGCTTAAAATACTTCCTTGGTCACCTTCTCTTACATCGTTACCATCATTAGCACTGCCAGGTTCTTGTACTAGAGACAGGTATCAAATTCCCACACATATTATAAAATTCTCAAATCTGTACCCCGTATTATGTGTTTCCTAACCACTTGATCAGTGTTAGCTCAAACAACAGCTCAAGGTAATGTTTCAGAGAGAGAGAGAGCATAAATACACCTTAAAGAGTTCCAGGGAACCCCACATGCCTTAGCCTGGCATTCCAGACCCCCCTCCCCAGTCTGGATCCAGACTATTTCTCTACCTGGGTCCTGCTGCTTCTCAAACAAATCTCTTAGTCCAGATGGAGCCCGAGCAGGGGTCCTCAGTCCCACTGCTGTGCCTTTGCCCATGTCCCCTGCCTGGAACATTCTTCTCCCTTTCCTTAATCACCCGACATAAAACTCTCTGGCTTACTCAACTTTTCTGTCTGCACTATCTCTTTTCTGAAGCATTTCCTGCGCCAGTACTCAATGCCTTGAATTATTACTTAGCTGTTTTAACTTTCTGGAGGGCTGGAATCTCATCAGTTTTCCTTAGTTTCTGCGTTCTCTGCCTGGCAGTACTATTCACAGAGAAGGTGGTTATTCTGGTTGACTGTATGATAACCATACAGGGCCACAATTTAAAATACACGATTATTGGTTCTCGGTTAAAGCCACAAGGCCAGACTGTCAAGTTAGATGGTGTGGCGTGAGAGAAGTAGGGTCTAGGCGCCAGAGGGCCAACATCTCTGGGCACTACCCGGCACCTTGCACATCCCTGCCGCAGGGGGCCCTGCTGGGGGCTGAGGCTGAAGCCGGAGGGTCACTCGTGCTGGCTTCCGACTTAAAGCACATCGCTCCCGGCCAGGCTGCCGGGGTGCGCGGCGTCCTGGGCTCACCTGATCTGCATCCCTTTTCTGCAGGAGCACATGTCCTTGCGCAGGAAGAGGCTGTTGAGCGTGACCGCCCCGATCAGGAAGAAGAGCTGCTTCACCGCCTGCCGCACGAGCTCGGGGTCCAGGCCGTTCTGGCACATGGTGCAGTAGAAGTAGCTCAGCTGCTGCAGCACGGAGGTCATCGTGTAGGCGGCGTCCGTGTCGTCTATGCTGGAGGACCGCTTGCGGAAGCCCGTGGGCTTCAGCCCCGAAATGCCCTGCAGACTCTCGGACTCCAGCATGCCCGGCACTGCGGAGAAAAAGCCAATGTCCCGCTCTCACGCGCCTGTTTCAGGAGATGGGCGTCTCCTACAAGACTCAGGGGGTGTAGCTGGGATAGGGAGCAAAACAATCATGATTCGTGACTCCCTGAGGGGCTGCGGGGTGCACAGCCGTTTCCAGAAGGGCAGCTGCTCCTTCCTTTATGTTGGAGGTAGCTGGTCTCCCGCTTCACTTGAAAACAGCGGGTCAGCATGAGAACTCGTAGTCGGGAGCCATGTAAAGCCTGCGGTATTTACATTTCAGAAAATTAAGAAAAATATACAAGAATTTGAATGGGACTTTAGGATTTCAAAAATACTTGGCTGAGCCCGAGAGCCATATAAGAACAAGTACCACATAAATAGTGGTAGAAGTTCCCCCCACCTTTTTCCCTTCAGGATGAATCATCCATATAGGAAAAAACCAACCAAACAAATAACAACAACAAAAAACCCTACTGACAGTGTACTTTATGGAATCATTTAAGCTTTTTAGACTGTATTACTCATAACCACACATTCCATAAGCAGATTTAATGTTTCAAAAAGTCTCAGTTACTATGAATATTTTTTGGTCATCAATTTTTTTCTTACCTATTATTGGTTGGATGTTATTTTCCATTATGATAATGAACTGATGATATATTCGTATAGCCACATCACTGAGAATCTGTCTGTATTCCGAAAGGTCAAAATTGTTCAAGCAATTCTTATTCTGATGTGGACTATTATGCTTCATGAATTCCTAAAAGCAATTTTGAACATATAAATATTAGAATATAAACATGCAGGAAATTAAAATAATATTATAATCAGCTTCCATTATAACTCTTTCACCTTAAAACTTAGTGCCTGATTTATATCAAAGGAGGTCCTGATGTTTGGGATAGCCCTGATTTCCTGTGCAATCTCAGCCCATCGTATGTCACTGTACTGCCCACTCCCCTACAAACATCGACCCTAGTTCCTACAGAGTGGAGAACACTTCTCACAGAAGCTCACAGAAAAATACTGCAGAACCCAAGGAGACAAATTAGTGTAAGAGGAAAGTAGATGTAATGAGATTCATAACCTTATAATTACAGGGTATAGACCAATCTGAAATATTTTAAGATCCATATTATGGACAGAAAGTTTGTGTTCTCTTAAAATTTATATGTGGAAGCCCCAGCTCTCCAGCATGGCTGTGTTTGGAGATGGGCCCACTAAAGGACTAGTTAAGATTACATGGATTGTGAGGGTGGGACTCTTATCCAAAAGGATTAGTGTCCTTATAGGAAGAGACACCAGAGAGCATTTGCCCACTCTCCCTCCCACCCCTCACCTGTTCACCCCATGCACTCAGGAAAGGTCCTGTGAAAATGTGGAGAGAAGGTGGCCATCAGCAAACCAGGATGAGTGCCCTCACTAGGAACCAATCATGCTAGCACCCGAATCCCAGTTATCTGGCCTCCAGGACTAAAATAAATCTCTGATTCTCAAACTGAACAGTCTGAAGTATTTTTTTATAAAGCACACTAATGCAAGATGCTTAACATGCTCAAAGAGATAAAGGAAAAAGAAAACATTAAGAATGAGGTATTGAGGCTCAGCACCCATAGTTCAATGGTTAGGACGCTGGCCACATGCACTGGGGCTGGCAGGTTCAAGTCCAGCCAGGGCCTGCTAAACATCAATGACAACGACAACAACAACAACAACAACAATAAAAACAGCCGGGCGTTGTGGCAGACACCTGTAGTCCCAGCTACTTGGGAGGCTAAGGCAAGAGAATCACTTAAGCCCAGGAGTTGGAGGTTGCTATGAACTGTGATGCCACGGCACTCTACCCAGGGTGACACAATGACACCTCTGCCTCCAAAAAATCAATTAATTAATTAATTAAAGAATAAGGTATTAAGAAAAAACGTAGGGGCAGCACCTGTGGCTCAAGGAATAGGGTGCTGGCCCCATATGCCAGAGGTGGTGGGTTCAAACCCAGCCCTGGCCAAAAACTGCAAGAAAGAAAAAACGTAGAGGTGAATAAGAACCAGAGAAATTTTATAAATAAAAATCTGGTAACTAAAAAAAACAGACAGGGAAGAGAACATTGTTATACGTGGCTGAAGGAGGTAAAGAAAGGATCAGCAAATAAATAGTGCTGAATAATATACCATTCCAGCGATGTTTCACTGAGGCCGGTGGGTCTTAAATTGACTAGACAGTGGCTCTCCATTTCCAACCTTAGTCAGAGGTTGGATTTGCTCTGTTTACAACTTTTGTTCTATCTTACCAGTCAGATTACGGTTACACTTTACCTTCTTTCCATCGGGACAACTGGCTATCCATACAGAAGAAGATAAGGAATCACCTCATGTATCAATTTGAGATCAATTAATAATGACACCGATTTTGGATAGGTAAAAACATAATTGTGAACGCTAAATGTGAACTACGAAAGTCTAGAAGAGAATATTTTCATGATCTCAGGCTAGGGAAGAATTTCTTGAATAAGATTCACAGTACAGGCTCGGCGCCTGTGGCTCAAGTGGCTAAGGCGCCAGCCACATACACCTAAGGTGGCAGGCTCCAAATCTAGCCCGGGCCCGCCAAACAACAATGATGGCTGCAACCAAAAAAAAATAGCTGGGTGTTGTGGTGGGCGCCTGTGGTCCCAGCTACTTGGGAAGCTGAGGCAGGAGATTTGCTTGAGCCCAGGAGTTGGGGGGTTCCTGTGAGCTGTGATGCCACAGCACTCTACACAGGGGGACAGCTTGAGGCTCTGTCTCAAAAAAAAGATCCACAGTACAAATCATAGAAGAATAAGAGTGATAGATTTCAGTGTCCCAAAATTCAAAAACTATATCTGACCAAGGATTTAATTTAGGAAATTAGAAGATCCACCTATAACACGTAAGGACCTCCTATAATCAACAAGAATAAAAATAGATCCAAAGAAAAATGAAGAAAGAATGTGGCTAGGTAATTTAACCCAAGGGACCAATAAGCATACGAACTGATGCTGGATTTCACTAGCAATCAAATAAACGCAATTTAAGTCAACAAGATGCCATCTTCTGCCCTCGAGATGGGTAAACGATAATAATGCCTATCAACATCAAGTGTTGGTAAAGGCAGGGGACCTTGGAAACTTCGTATACTGCCGGTGGGACTCTAAAATAGTGCAGCCATTTTAGAGAGCCCTGAAAACCCTAAAAGTCATGTTGTTGTTTTAGTTCCCTGAAATTTTTCTCTGTGAGTACTCGAAGGTGGAGAACTCATTTATGACATCAGACTCCTAGAAGCAAGGTCAGAATCGCAAAGGAGATATTTTCATAGACTATGGAAAACAATCAGAATCTTGTAAAGAGAACAGCAGTGACAAGACAGGCATAGTGAACCGAGGGCTGTAGTTTAGAGTCATCACACTAAAAGTTTCCCAGCCAGAAGGAAACTTAAAATTCATCTAATCCACCTATTGATTTAGAAGTAAAGGAAACCTCGGAGGCTCAGTGCCATGTTCAAGGTCTCAGCTTCTTCTAGAAGTCTCTGGCTTGTGGTGGACACCTAGGAGTCCAGTATGGTCTGCTGTGTGCAGAGGAGCCAGACGGCCACTTGCAACAGAAGCCACGCCTGGCCCTGGCTGTCCGGATCCCTAATCCCTCCAGGAAGCTCTGGCTCATGAGGAGGTCACACACGACACAGCACAGGCAAGGATGCATACCTCTTCTCCGCTGTACTGCTTCAGGCAGTTGAGGAAATGGCAGGTATTGGAAAGCCAAAAGGACAGCATCTCAAAGTCTTCTAAATGTTCCTTTAAAAAAGTAAGAAAAAAAAAATTGGACTGGATGCTTAGCCATGCCTCTGACCATCTTACTTGTTTGGTTAACTTGTAGCTTTGGGCTAAAATTAATTTTTTTTAATGCACTAAGGCTTTAATCCAATTCATGTTGTAATTATACATGTAAGAGCTTATATGTATATGGCAGGTTACGGTCTGCAAAATGTTTCTGTACAGGTACATCAATCACTATGAAGCTTGCAGCAGGCCTGGCAGGAATGCACAAGAAATATGCGTCTCGGTTCTTGCTCTCCGAAGTTCACATTCCGACCAGGAAGACAGATCTAACAAAGGGAGGACACAGTCAAACAGGTGACCAAGTGCCCAAACGATGGGTGTAGGCTGTGCTTCCAAAATTCAGGACAGAGCTGACAAGGATGCAGGACAGCTGGGGAAACTCAGAGAGAGACAGCAGGATCAAGCCCTTGAAAAGGGAGAAGGGACAGGGGGACTTTTGGGGCAGGAGGAGGAGGAATAAGTAAAGAAGGCAAGCTGGCTTCCACAGGGAGCAGAGGG